TCTTTACATAATTGCGAACCATTTTGAAGCAGAACAGTGGTCTGAAATGAGTAAATTATTTTACAATTATACCTTAGAGGCAGTAGGTACGGTTTATTAAGTACTTATTTAATATTACAAAAAATTAACCTTCTTTGTCTTACGTAGCTATGCAGGTTTACACTTTCCCCTATGCAATCGGTTACACTTTCCCGCCAAATTACTTTAAGGGGTAAGTGTAACCTACAGGCTTTTTTACTTCAAACCATAGGTAATTTCAAATTTGATGCTAAAATTAAAAATAAAGAATAAAATTGTACTACTTACGAAATTTTTAAACTCCAAGAAACAGAAATGACTAAGTATAATTTTACAATAAATTTTACGAATTTATTGTAAAATAAATAAATAATCACAGTCAGTCTCTATGTTCCCATTTACGCCTATATGTTAACATCAACGGATCAATTATTCGTGACTCCCTTGGACCAGTTTTACACAGGAAAGTTTTTCAAAATTAGGTTTTCAATTAAAATTAGCGACTATCAGTTATTTGTTTATAATGGAAAAGGCATCATCCACGTCCGTCCAAAATTTAAAGAGAGATTTATTACCTACTAAATTCTCCCTTTATTTTGCCGCTAGCAGTAATGTGCCTTTTACACTAGCCAAGTGAGTTGATCAAGTCAATTGAATTTAAGTGACTTTCATTAAATTTTCCGTTTACACATAAAATTCAAATGAATGCATGCCAATTGATTTAAAATAGCGAAACTTGTGGTGAAGAAAACTATTTTGCAAACAGTTTTAAGTATAACTAAGGAATTAGTGGAAAATATGAAAAGAAAGAAGCAACAGAAAAAGAGAATATGGGTTAGAGAGTGAATTACTCGAAGAGGGATGTGAAGTGCCTCAAATAACCTTCTCCGTGAGCTGAAATTAGAAGATTCAAGGGATTACAAAAAAATTTGTGCAGTAGGATGCGGCTATGCCTGAAGCTCAACCATCTCGGATAAAGCTGGAAATAGTTTTGCGGTATCTGGCAACAGGAGATTCTTTAGTAGGAGTTTAGAATATCTATACAGAGTACAGAAGTCTACAATTTCATATTTTTTGGTATAGGTAATGGAAGCAATTTACAAAGTGTTGGAAGAATATATTAAGGTAAGAAATAAAGCACCAGTAATTACTAATAACATAAATTTAGTATTTCAAATAGCAGAAATTCTCTAAACTACCATAATATAATAGAATTCAGTGCTTCAGATAGTATATCAGTGGTTGACGATAGGTAACTGGAGTGTTCCCTGTTTATCATTTCTTTGTAGTATTACTGTGAATTTAAATCACTCGTTATTGTATATGGGGTGTTCGCATAATATGAAGAGCCTAGTTCATCTGCATGAGAAGCTTGATGTTAAGAAGATAGATTGCGATTTTCTTGTTGCTTCTCTTTAATATCTTGAATTCGTGCATTTGAAAGCAAAGTAGTGATCTGGGTTTGGACCTTCACCTCTCTGATAATGTTCAGACTGCGCAACTGGCTAGCAACATAGTGATAATAAATTTCAAACTCATCTTTTTTCAAATCTTCCTTAGCAGTTTCACAATTTTTTTATTGCAGACGATATTTTATCGTCACACTTAACTCGTTTTGATAAGGCTAGAACGAGATGTACTTGATGTTGCATGTTCAGATACTGTTGTATTTGATAATATTGATAGAAAAATTATAATTTGTCTGTAATATCTTCCGTTTCATTTCCTCTTGCATTTGCTATTTCTTGCGACGGGGCGATATCTTCAGTGGCCGGTCCTTCTGTTGAAGGGGATACGGTGCCTTTAATGATTTGGTTGTTGATTAAGAACTCTAAAAAATATATATAATGTTTAACATGAGCTTCGTATTAAATTTTGTATGTATAAAATATCAAATTATTATTTTTCTCCCGCAGATCCCTGCGGCAGATATTGAGTGGCGACGTATAGAACCGTTGTCATTAAAAATCCTCCCCATGCAGGTTCTGATTATTATAAGTATAAAGGTACATATAGTATCGTGTTATTAGCATTAGAGGACGCCGATTACTGTTTTACATGCATAGACGTTAGCGCACAGGGAAGAGCATCAGATGAGGGAATATTTCAAAAAAGTATCCTGTATGATACGCGGACGAGGCGGTAGTATTCGCTGACAGTTCTGAAACCCTCCAGTAGTTAATGAACAGAATCACACAGATCAGTTAGAGATACGGACTTTCACTAAACACTAAGAAAACAAAATGCATGATGATCTCTAAGAAGGAACAGCAATTTGGACAAATCAGTGTAAACGATCAACAAATAGAAAGAGTAAAAACATACATCTACCTTGGTACGAACGTCAATGAAAACTGGGACCATTTCTGAGCTTGTTAACCACAATAAAAACAGCCAAAATCGAATACCTAGGTCACATCATAAGGAACAGCGAAAGATATGGACTGCTTCAACTAATCTTGTAGGGAAAACTAGAAGGAAAACGTGGACAAGGAAGGCGAAGGATTTCCTGGCTGAAAATCTACGAACGTGGTTCAATACAACAATCACAAATCTTTTTAGAGCAGCAGTGTGCAAAGTGCAGATTGACATGATGGTCGCCAACATCCGAAACGGATAGGCACTACAAGAAGAAAGATCCTGTAAGAGAATTTCAAAAATTTACAGTTAAATATGCAATCAGAAATGGTAATTGTAGCAGACGATGCTTTCTCCTTAAAAACCTATTCCATGAAACTACTCTTTAAACGAAATTTGATATTACGAGTAAGAATATTCAATTATCGGTTTTGCAGAGCCCGTAGAATTGTTAAAAATGCTGTCGGAATTTTGGTATTGACATTCAAAAATTTTGGAAGACCGATAGCACTTTCTCCGGGAAAGGTTACTTCAATAGTAAAAGTAGCCACAGCTTTACACAACTGGTTGCGCAAATCTTCTGCAGCTATACTACGTTCCACGTCTAGAAAATAACATTGCGAAGATAGGGCCATGTATTTCTTATGGACGATAGCAACGCGGCGTTGCCACGACACACACAAGCACAATTTAGGGTTGTATAATTTGTATTTTCGTTTCCACAAACATGAATTAAATTAATGTTTTTTAACGTAATTGACCAAAAGTGCCCATTCGAAACAAGAGATGAAAAGTAGGGAAAATGATTTTAATTAGATAAATAGTATTTACAAAAGATAGTTTTATTTTATCTTATTTTAATTATAGTAACGACAGTTTATTTGTTTTTCGGTGAGAATACGATATGCCATGAATCATATAAATCAGTAGAAAATATTGACCGCTTGGAATGCGTATATCTAATTACTAATTGCAACTTAAAATAATACGATATGCGTATGTCAGCTATTTTATGTCGTCTCTGACTACATAATGATAATAAGACTTTTATTTAGTAGTTATTCTGACTTTACAGTTAAATATTAATTGAAAATGAAAATTCAAAAATTAAGCAAAGGGAATATCTTGGACATCCGTGCAAAAGAGAGTGTCTGAGGGTTTTGGCAACACTGATCTCCATAAGCGTAATGTTATTTTCTTTTTCTACTCTCTTATTAGTAAATTGTATATTACCTACTATTTGGATGCTAAGTAAATGCATCATAACAGATACTGACACGTAATGACTAGCACGTAATAAAAAAAATTACGCTTCAGTTCTATAAAAATGTGTAATATCACATACGCCTTGTAAGTCAGTTGGTCGAGTTACCATGGAAACGAATTAACAGGCGTTGTTTTGACAGGTTAAAAATTATTAATCTGTCAGTGTAAATATAGTGGTAATTTAATTTTTATTTTTATAAACAAAAATAATGGTAGAAAAAGTATAGTACACAACTTGAGTTGTAAGCTTATTACATGCTTGTAAAATTACTGCGCTCGCCGCTACGCGGCTCGCGCGCAAATTTTTTACTCGCATGTAATAAGCTTCTTACAACTCTCGTTATGTAATATACTATAACGTGAAACAAAGAATACTTACATTACGCTCGGGTTGGTCGATACAGAAGATTTGGAGACGGGCGCTATCACTTTAGGTTCTTGAAAAAAGCAAATGTCATTATTACATGCACTACATCAACAAGGTAGTAATAATAATAAATTATTCCCGACAAACCTCTGATGTTTTTAAGAAATATGTTGACTATTTCTGTACAAATGAAACAGTCTCATAACAATTAAATAAAATTAATACATGATTAAAATATTGGTTCTTGGTGTTTTTACTCGAATTTGATAGATCTCAAATATGTAAACATGCGTAGAAAAATGAACATAGGGTTCAATGAAATGATTCAAGTATAGTTCTAAAAGAAACAGATGGTAGAAAAAGAAAAATCAAAGAAGCTGCTCTAGTTATGCAAATTCCTCGGTAGAATGCAGACAGATCTGGTTACCCATAATTAAAGAGGAAGTTAATAAAAGGAAAATACCAGTATTAATAAGTCAGTAACATATTGAGGATACATCATTTATGTTTTTTAAATAACAAACATATAAAATCAGAATTTGGTGTCTATTGAGAATAAACTAAATATGTATAAATATGTATAACAGCAAATACTTACCATGTCGGGATAGTATTATAAGGTTTTTTCCTTATGATTTACTATTAAATCACTAACATTGGAATTTTACTGTCATCATAGCATGTAGTTGTCTTTGTAAAGACGAATTACATGCTATGATTTTTTTTCTGACGGATATTCTCAAGTTAAAGTTGATTTCATGTAATCGAATGAACTATCTTAAAATAAAGTCGTCCCAGGAACGCAACTCAGCAATATTGGCAATATCATTTTAACATAGTATAATATATGTCTGAATTGTCAATATAAATGAGTCAGATAAAATTAAACAACAGGTAACAAAAAGAAAATTTGTTTAATTTATTAATGTTTTTAAAAACAGTAATTTAGTTTTTTATCATATTTTATTCATATATATTTATTTTATTGCAGATAATTATGTACATCTGTAGACTTGGTATAACTGCATCATTATTATCTGAAAGTTTGGTTAGTGGTTTTACATGTGGAGCTGCATTTCACGTCGTTAATTCCCAACTTAGAGATATTCTGGGAGTTCCCATTGATAAACATTTGGGAAACTTCTCAATTCCTTTGGTAATTCGACTTTACTGTTAACTAGTAATTTAATAATAAAAAAGACGCATAATATAAGCTTTATCCATAAAAAATCATCACAAGTTTAAATGTTGAATCGGTTTTATTGTGAACTGATTACTTCATTCAATTTACTAAATTGATTAGTTACTAACTAAAGTATGTTTTGAAAAAACCGTAAGAGTTTTTTTTTAAAAACGTCAATATATACTCGCAGATTGTCAAACAAATACACGGTTCCAATTCGATCGATCTGAAATTTTAAGGGATTGTTATGGACTACAATACAGATCCTTTGGGCGCAATTACAAATATTTAGGTTGACTTTTTACAATAGTTATAAACAATTAATGATTTTGCCTTATTTTGCAGTTTTCGAAGCAACAAATTAATTTTACAACTTTTAGCAATCGTCATTTTAAAGCTTTAAAAAAAAGTTTTGTAATTTCACCTCAAATATTAGGAAAACATGGAGGATGACGTTTACTTAACAGGAAAATCAAATTTTATTTAGAACAATAGAATAAATAAGTTGTAAAATACGGATTAAACCTAATTTTTTAACGAACAAAAAATATTAAGAAAAACGTACACTGAGTGGCATTTGCTGGAAGTCTAGGGTAATACCGCTCAGTTGCCTTTTTATGATATATAGGCATTGTTATTCTTTAGAAAAGTCACATATCGACGGTTAAACTGCAAAACCTCGTAAGTCGATTTTTGGTCAATTATGACTTTTATACTTTTTTGGTTTATATTTTTCCATATCTTTTAAACTACGAAATCTTGTAAGTCTATATTTAAATTTAATGGTACTAGCGACATCTACAAAAACCTCGTAAAACTAACTGTTAGCAGAAAAGTGGTTTTGGAGTTTAATTTTGTGGGACTTCCAGAAACTATTTCATTACTTGAGTGGTGGTTGTCAATTTTGTTGTTGTGTTAATGAGATTTTGAGAAGATAATATCTATTGGTATTACATAATTTTGATAATGAATTCAAGAGGAAAATATATCTTAAGCTTAATAAAAACAAACAGTGCAGATTGCCAAGAGGGGTAAGTTTACTGTTGTACAATTATTTTTAATGTAATATTAAGGTAATTTGTTCGTAATCAATAAAGCGAGGTTATCTTTTTAGTATAAAAAGATGGTCAGGCATCACTTTTCACATCAGTGATAATAATTATGCAGATAAAACCCATGATTTAAAATCTTTATCTCAGAGTTTAAATAACAGTAATGATGATGTTATAAATTTAAATTCTGAAGAAACGGAACCATTTGAAGACAGTGGATCTGAATATATAGTGTCTACCGATGACACTGATGAAAGTGACCAATTTACCAATGAAGCTGAAACTGACAATAAAAATCAAACCAAAAAGAAAAGGGCAAAAAAATGGAATGTACACAAAGAAAAATGGGATCGCTCTAACAACAGAATAAAAAGAATGCGAGGTGAGAAATATGATTCCAAAATGTACGAAAAAACTACTAAAAAGTACGTAACCGTTGAAAGAAATCAAAGACAAATGGGTCCAGCTTGTGAATGCAAATTGTCTTTAAAATCATCAAAACTCTTTTGCAGAACATTTAGTCAAGAAGATAGGTTACAGTTATTCAATAACTTTTGGCAGTTGAATTGGGACGAGAAAAAAATGTTTGTAAAAGGCCTTGTTGATACAGCACCAATTAAACTACGCAAAGCAGGTAACTAATAATATTTTAAACTCTATAATAGGTTTACTAAAATAAATTTGATTTTAGAAGCCATTGAGAAACAGCGGAAAGGTACCTTATGTTTTCATTTAAAAAAGAATAGTATACGACTTCGGGTATGCAAAAAAATGTTTTTAGAGACACTGTGTGTAGGGGAGTGGAGTGTAGCAAGTTGGGTAAACGTAACTCAAACCCAAAATATTGAGCAATTGAATACTAATTGTAAATCCGAGCCAACGAAAAAGAAAAAGTTCCTAATTAACTTTTTTCAAAAGTTGCCCAAACTTGAAAGCCACTATTGCCTTAAAGAAACATCTAAATTGTATTTAGAACCGATGTGGCAAAATATAAACGAATTATATAGATGTTACACTAATGAATGTCGATCAACTAACGAACATGCTCCAGTAAGTCACACGTATTTTAGAAGACAATTTGAGGACCAAAATTTGTCTCTGTTTAGGCCAAAGTAAGTGTTTACTTATTGTTATTTTATTGCCTCCAATAAATCAATTTTTTTTAGGAAGGACCAGTGTGACATCTGCACTAGTAACACTGTTGGGACTGTAAGTAATGAAGATTATCAGTTACATATTATTAGAAAAAATGCTGCTCGCCAAGAAAAGGAAAAATTAAAACAGTCCACTAAAAACGATTCAACTAAATTGTTGTTCACTATGGATTTACAAACGGTTTTGAGTGCGCCAAAATTGCAAGTATCTGTTTCGTACTATAAAAAGGAACTTAATGTTCACAACTTGTGCTTTTTTAATCTAGCATCAAATAAGGGTGACTGTTACATCTGGCATGAGGGAGCCGGAAATATAAAAGCTTCTGACTTCACATCAATTGTCATTCACCAGATTGAAAAGTATGTAACAGAAGAAACAAAAGAAGTTATTTTTTTTCTGATGGCTGCAATTACCAAAACAGGAATTCAACTTTGAGTAGTGCTTTATCCAATTTTGCAGCAGCAAAGAATATTCAAATTTACCAAAACTATTTGGAAAAAGGACATACTCAAATGGAGTGCGACTCGATGCACGCCTGCATCGAGCGTCAGCTGAAAAATAGGGACATTTATGTACCTGGCTGTTATGTTCAAATTTGTAAAAATGCAAAATTACAGCATCCTTATGATGTTCATTACCTAGATCATCTTTTCTTTAAAGATTATTCCCAGATTGAAACATATCCCTCAATTCGTCCAGGTAAGAAAAAAGCTGATCCTACAGTCACAAATTTAAGGTGTCTAGCATATCGTCCGAATGGTCTTATAGAGTACAAATTGTATTACGAAGATGACTGGAAACTACTACCGCAACGACGCAACAAAGAAAAAGCAAATAATGCTCCGCCATTATCATATCCTACTGCACCAAAAATAACACTTTCTAAATTTAATGATTTGCAGGATATGAAAAACTTTATTCCTAAAGATTTTAGGCATTTTTATGAGTCTCTTGCTCATGAGTAAATAGAGGATATTAGCCAGTTATAAATTATCACAATTTTTATTTTTTATTTTTTTTTTATTCTTATGGACAGAATTTAATTTAATAGTGAATATTAGCAAGTTTTATAAACTACGGCTATTTTGGTTTTGATTTTTTTACTTTTTAACTATAAAGATTGGTTATCACTACTCGTTTTTAAGAATATTTTATAAGTTTTATACCATAGGTGATGTAATGTAATAAATTAACTAAAAATAATTTAATTTATTGCTTTTTTTTTAACCTCGAAAGTGGTTCTTTTGAGACAAAACCTCGTAAGTTTACTGACAGTTTAAGATTTTAAGTTGCAAAACCTCGTAAGTGGCTTTTTGAAAAAAAAAACAATGTTACTAAATTTTACGTAAGAGTAATGTAATCGTTACCTCAAAAGAACCCTACACTCAAAAAACGAGAAAACTGAATGTTAAGTCAAGAAGCCAAAACGTTTTTCGTCTCTCCTGTAAAGTTACATAAAACTGACTTACGAGGTTTTGCAGTTTAACCGTCGATATACACATTTTTGCCTTTTCACAGCCACTCTTGATAAACCCATCTAGCGCAAATTGTGCACCTAAACCATAGCTCACCATCTTTACGTAAGTCATTGCAGATTATGCAGTATTCATTTGGAGCTGCGTCATCGAGTTCGTCGTGATCGCAGAGTTTATTTTGATCTACAATTTCACCAGAAATCTATATTCCTTCCTTACATAGTCTGTGTTTAGCCGGCATCTTTTTTGTTGGATTGCTGTCTGTAACCTGATGTTTGGACTTCTTTCATTTCTTTCTTGCATTACTGAACTTACTTCCAGAATATCCAATTCTTTTAAAGTGTCAGAAGTCTTTGTCACTGAACACGTTTGGATTAACAGGATATATACCAGTCACCTCGAATCCTTTAACTACCTTCTCTACTATAACGATACGAGTATAAGCCTTATTAAACTATGATACTAAGTCATACGGTGTAATTTGCTAACACTGCCTTGGTTTTATAAAGATGTCCATTTCTCTACTGAATGCTATTGTTAATGGGCCAAAAGCTGTTACGTATAGTGTCTGCATTTTATGGGACGTATGCGGTGGTAATGAAGGAATGTGTATTCCATTGTTTCTGCAGAATGAATAAAAATTAAGGAAAGTATTCCTGCTATGGTTTTCCAGAATAATGTGTGTAATAACATGTAGTTTTGAAGTGTTGGAGCCATTCCAGAAATAAATCTTCAGTCATCCAGCCTGACTTACTGCATCGATAGATAGACCCAGGATGGATTCCTCCTTCTAATAATGGTATCATACTCTGTCCGGGTATATAAACATTGGTAGAATAAAAACTCCAGAGGCACTAATTGCACAGATCACAATGTGGTTTTACCTCGCTCCCAACTACTTACAACACTGACTTGTTTTGTCCTTTTTGGTCTATAATTTTGCAAGGATTTTGGACCGTAGAAATCCCTCTTTTATCTGCGTTAAATATCCTCATAGGACTAAATTTATGCCGCTTCATTAAGACTTCGAGGTTGGAGAAAAATCGTTTGAACTTCATAATTATTCAATGATTTCACTTTGTTGACGCTTGTCGGTTCTAGTTTCCTTAGACTTAAACTAGGCAAACCAGTGAGTTTAGTTACCATATTATATATATATATATATATATATATATATATATATAATATATATATATATATATACATATTATATATATATATATATATATATATATATATATATATATATATATATATATATATATATTTATATTCTTAACTTTAGTTTTTC